GTCGGATGTTTGTAATTCAGAGACTGCCTGTATATACTTAACACAGTTTACAAATTGATTTTGAATCAAAACATGTGTTTATTTTTAAGGTGATATATTAGAAGGAATTACAGATACATGTTCTTGTGGAATATTAAATTCTAAAGAACACCATAAGTACATGAAACCGATACACTCAGTTCCAACCGTATGTTTTTATAGTTGCTTCCATGCAGACCTAGGCTACAAGGACATAATTTGCAATAGGACAGTTTTGGACACAGAAAGGATACTTCTTTCCTAGCTGCTATCCTACCATCAATTGAGGTGTAAGGAAAACATGCATACAGAACTTGGGCAGATATGTAGGGAGAGCATTCCAGAAGAGAAATCATGATTTTTGAAATTCTGAGGGATAGATGCCTAATCATTTATTTGGGTCTCTCTCCTTCTGTTGTCAGTTAAGTTTACATTGCCTGTGAATTATGATAGTTCCTTCCATGAGTAAGCCAAGATCTAGAGAACCTATAGGGTAGAAATTGAGAGTAAAAGACTAATCGACTTCCTGTCCAAAACTTCTCCACTAAAAACATACTCTCAGAATCCTAATTTGCAAAGGGAAATGAATTGTGACTCTTTAAAGCAAGGGTGTGCTTGGAGATCCTTGGAGGTTCCCCATCTTGCTCTGCCCACCAAATCCACATTTCCTCAATGTTTCCAAACCTTTTCTCCTACTCAAAAGCCACCAAAAAGTAAATTGGTACACACCTGGAGGCTTCCAAAAAAAGGAACTGGCATAAAACAGCCCCACCTCAGAGAAGCCAAGTAGGAAGAGGCAGATAGCCAATAAACAAATCAGATTTATCAAACCATTGGCAGACCTCCTTCCATGGCAGATGGATTGCACAATTTAGGTCACAAGCTGTGGCTTTCATGTAAAAACATAGATTAACTTGTACTGACTTTTATGTACTTTTTCAATAAATTTTAAAGTTTCACAGACTTGATTTTCACTCCTTATCTCTAAAACACGAATGATACTTATTAAAAACCATGTTGAATAAAAAGTCAATAACATTATTACAGTTTCAGATTATTTGTCCTTTGTGGTATCAATTTCTCCAACTAGAGACCCCCAAATGTATCAAGCGGCATCATTTTCCTTTATGGAGGAATGATTGTATGACTTCAGGCTCTTAAACAAGGAGATGAGGACAAAGATCCTATGTGGAGCTCAGGAAATGCAAAGTTCCACCATTGTGTTTTTGTGTAGGTCCCATGGAAGCAATAGGGCAAAAAGGAGTTGAGTGAGTGGCAGTACAATTGAGTTTTCCTACATCCCTGCATAACATATATCCAACCTGGGATGGTGATGAAATTGTTTCTTGTACTGGATATCCCCCTGTGCAATTTCTAAAAAAGAAATTATGTTGGTCAATGAGGATTAATGTTGACCGCATCTCGGCCTATGAGCCCACGAGGACCTTGAGATCGTCTGGGGAGGCCCTTCTCTCGATCCCGCCTGCCTCACAGGCACGCCTGGCGGGGACGAGGGATAGGGCCTTCTCGGTGGTGGCCCCCCGGCTGTGGAACACCCTCCCTGTAGACATCAGACAGGCGCCCTCCCTTATGACATTCCGCAAGAGCCTAAAGACGTGGTTGTTTGAGAAGGCGTTTGACTAAGTGCTACAACAAATTGGCAATGATGAGTGGAACGGAATATGGATAACGAGATTGGATTGTGATTCTATGATGAGACGTCGCGAATGATTTAGTGTAATTGTATTATTAATAGTGATGTTGTTATTGTTGTTTATGATATTGCTTTCATTGTAAATTGTCTTTTTATATGTTGTACACCGCCGTGAGTCGCCCTAGGGCTGAGAACGGCGGTCAACAAATGCAGTAAATAAATAAATAAATAGTAAATAAATTATGCTAAATGGTAGAAGCAGCCACAGGCCACATAACAATAACCTGTGGGCTACATTCAACCTGTGAATTTGAATTCCCCCATCGCTGTTTCAGATAGATCACTACCACGAATTCAGGCTTATGTTCATCACAGTTATTTGAGGGAAAACATAGAAAATTAGATTGCAGTTCTGCAAGTAAATAGACACTTGCTTATGTTTTCCCTAGACTTCCTCAAAATGGCTTTATCTTGATGATTCAGCTCTAGCCCACATGATTAGTAGATAGGGATTGTGAGAGTTATTAGATCTTTCCAGTTCATGCATTGGTAAATCTGGACAAGTAATTCTAAAATCCATGTCCCCACATGTGGTTAGATTACAACTGTCATAATTTCTTACTGATCACCCTACCTAGGACCTCTGGAACCCAACTTTAGAAATCACTGATCTAGACAAAAGCTTTCCATATCCAAAGCTGTCTGATGCATCACAAGCATGGAAAAAGAGATGAACTGTGTACCTGTCATGAGAAGCCACATATACATACTCAAAAAATATACTCAGTCATTCACTCCAAAAATATACTTAGTCATTTCTCACACAATCAACAATCATATTATGTTACCCAGAAAGAAGAAAATAGTACACAGTATTACAAATGTATATTCTATTATATATGCATATGATGAAAAGGACTGTAACATACAAAGTCATATTTTTTTCTATATGGAAAAAATACTGCATGTAAGATCCCATAACATGATGCTGTAAATAACTAATTGCAATACATATGGCTTTTAGTTTTGCCCATTTTAAGCATACACAGTGCTTTTCAGGAGTATTAATCTAGGATGTATAAAAAGAGAAGGTGCAGATAAAACCAATGTTACATGCAAATGAAGTGTGTACAAATATGGCACCAATGGAAACTAAGTGTAAGCAAAATGCTGTAATGTTGAAACAATAAAAATATTGTTTTAAAAAGAAGTATTCATCTACTCTACCTTTAAGGTTTCTGCATTTTTTGTGTTGCAGGCCTGGAACTGAAATGGCTTTAATAAGAATTTGCTACTACTTGATGAACACAAGATACTTAACACTGTGAAGGCACAAAATACATGTTGGCTGAACAAGTACTCTTCCTCAAGTCAACACTTGTCAGCAATTACAGTTTTCAGATTTCTAGAGTTAAGCCTCTATTATGCACCTGGGTTCTGCAATTTTCGTCCATTCGTCTTGACAATTTTTTTTCTATCTCTGCGATGCTGGATGGTGATTGTTAGTGAACAGCAACTTTCAAATCTTGCCACAGGTCCTGAGATGGATTCAGGTCTGGCATTTGAAAGGGCCATTCAGATTCTTGTTTAAATAACTCCAGGGTTACTCTGGCTATGTTTCATTGTCCTGTTGGAAGATGAACCTTTACCCCAGTATCATGCTCCTTGTATAACCTTGCGGATTATCTGTGTAATAGTTTTCCATGGAAAAGCTACAATCAGTCTCCTGGACTAAAGCCCGTCTTACCTAGCCACTTAACTGAGTAGACGGTTTGCAGTTAAAGCTTTCCTTTTTGTAATAATGGCTGTAAGAGTGCTTCATAGCTTAGGATATATGTTTATAAACCAACTTTATTTGGTTTTTCTGATTTTATTGAGGTGTTGTTCAAACAACTCCTTAGCCATCACGATACCATTTGTGTACATACTCCCTCCAACAAACTCTGGGACCTTCCAAAAACAGATGGACTTAAACAGATGGCCCTGCTCTCAGTCTGCCTTCTTCACAACCATGTTTGGCAGGGATGAGGAACAGGGCCTTTTCGGTGATGGCCCCCCCCATTTATGGAATGCTCTCCCTAGCGAAATTAGCTTTGCTCCATCCCTCCTCTCTTTTAGAAAGAAGCTCAAAACATGGTTTTGGGTCCAGGCATTTGGACAGTAGGTTTGGCAGTAATCATAAAGTTTGAATTCTGACTATGACAGGCTTTGGACTGGGTTGACAGTCGCTAAATCAGACTTGGATTCGGCTATATGATTAATAATAATGTGAAGGCCGCAGGTTAAAGAGGCCTGTATGGTTTAAATCACTTGCCACAAGTTCTGTACCATATGGAATTCAATTGGTATCTATGTACAAGTTGCTGCACAAGTTGAGTATCTTTTATAGCGGTGGTTCTCACCCTGTAGGTCCCCAGATGTTTTGGCCTTCAACTCCCAGAAATCCTAATGGCTGGTAAACTGGCTGGGAGTTTTGACAGTTGTAGGCCAAAACACCTGGGGATCCACAGGTTGAGAACCACTGCTTTATAAGAAATTCTTAGACTCAAAACTGGTTGTTTTTAAAAACATAGAATATCTGCATTTGCATATACATAAATAATTGCATACCTGAGAGGCGCAACTAGTCAAAACACAAACTTTGCTTATGTTTCATTATATGTATTTCCTGAAAGTAATTTTATAGAATGTTTTTAATAATTTTGTGAATGAAACAAAGCTTGTGTACACCGCACCATCAGAGAGCAATGAGTCGCTCTCTTAACCAACCATTGGACACTTTTTTCTGATGGTCTTTGGTGACCTCTCTGACACCCCCCTCATGACCCCTCCCCAGGGATCTCGACCCCCAGGTTGAGAAACGCTGGTTTAGGGCTTTGTAGGTCATAACCTTCACCTTGAATTGGGACGGGAAACTTACTGGCAGCCAGTGGAGCTGTAGGTCAGATATGGGCAAACTTGGGCCCTCCAGCCGCTTAAGAGGCTGAGGGGGAAAAGGAAGGGGCCTGAGGCTGTTAGGAATGGTGGGAGTTGAAGTCCAAAACACCTGGAGGACCCAAGTTTGCCCACACCTGGAGGGCCAAAGGTTGCCCATGCCTGGTCTAGACACTACACTCCTATTGATGCAGGAGTCACCAAACTACAACTCCCATAATGGGAAAAGGAAAAGGCAAAGGGGGGCTGAGGCTATTAGGAATTGTGGGAAGTCCAAAACACCCGGAGGGCCGAAGTTTGTCCGAGCCTAGTGTAGGCCAACCCTTAAGCACAGTTATTCATAAATTACCCGGTCAAGCCCAGGGCATTCTGATTATGTGCAATTTACTCCTACCGGGTGCTGCTTGTGACTTTCCTCTCGGGCCCACTATGCGTAGGGTGTGGAGCAGGCACTGTGAAAGGAGAAGACCCATTCAGCAAGGTGAGGGCAGGTCCGCAAAAGAGGGAGGGAGGGGCAGCACGGATAAAGGGGCGGGAAGCTCCGCTCTCCCCGAGGAAAGGCCGCAGGCTCCCCGTGGCCTTTCCCAAGGGAGCCCTCAGGGCAGGCCCTTCCCTCGCGCGGAACACTCACCTTCTGGCCCTGGAGACACGACTCCCGCCCGCCCGCTCGCTCTGCCAGCTGAGGCTGCCGCGCGTGCCAACAACGGCGCTCCCTATTGGCTCCGCCGGCCCCTCACGCCCCGCCCCTTTCCCCTGTCAACCCAGCGGAAGCCAAGATGGCGGCCTTGGAGACCGGAGAGAGGCTTCCTAGGAGGAGCGACCAGGGCGCCGCCGCAGCCACGAGCTTCCAGAGGCGAGGAGGAGGAGGAGGAGGAGGAGGCGGGCGCTTGGCCTCTCTGCCAGGGACCCGGCCCTCGGCGCGGCACGGACAGCTCCTCCTCTCCAGCGGCCTCCCTTCCCTGGACGCCAAGCTCGGTGGGTGCGGGCGGAAGGGAGGGGGGAGGGAGGCGTGCCGCGCGCCCTTTGCGGGGAAGTGGTGTGTGTGTTTGGGGGGGGGGGGGGGGAGTTGGAGTTGGGGGAGGTTTCCTCGCTCTCCGCCAGTGTTTCTCAACCTTCCTGATGCCGCGACCCCTTAATACAGTTCCTCACGTTGTGATGACCCACAACCAGGCCTGTAGCGAGGGGGTGGTTTTAGGGGTTCAACCCCCCCCCCCCGAAATGTTTCAGATTTTTTAAAAAACCTGGTTTACTCATGAATTTTAACTGGTTAACCAAATCCCCATGCTAAGTCTATGAGATGCAAAAAATTAAGAGTCCCTCAAGAACTGCAAGCACTATCTCAAGCAAATATTGACAATTTATTCACACTGTCATTACTTGCAGCAATAGCCGATGTAGTGAAGCAACCAAGTTGGGGTGTGTGTGTTGAATGCTCTCATTAAGGAGGCCAGACTTGGTGGAGGTGGTTGACAGGGGCGGAGCTGCAGGCTATGGAAGGTTGCTCTGCCCCCTGCTGTGCTCTTTGCTTCAGCGTGAGCTAGGAGGCAGGTTTCAACCCCCCCCCCCAAAATTTTCAACCCTCCGAAATTTTCAACCCCCCCCCAAATTTTCAACCCCCCCCCCCAAATTGTCCACATCAGCACTTTTAATCCTGTACCCACTACTCTGGCCCGGCCCAGTTTTTATTTGTCTTGATATACTGTCTATTGCATGTCGTTAATATTGCTTTAACTGTTTTTAATTTGCTTTTGGTGTTATATTGTTTGTGTTGTGTTTCGTGGCCTTGGCCTTTGTAAGCCGCATCGAGTCCTTCGGGAGATGCTAGCGGGGTACAAATAAAGTTAATAATAATAATAATAATAATAATAATGTAAACAGGATGTATTTTCATTTACTGTACCAAATTTGGCACAAATACCCGATACACCCAAATTTGAATACTGATGGGGTTGGGCAGGGATTGATTTTGTTATTTGGGAGTTGTAGTTGCTGGGATGCATAGTTAACCTACAATCAAAGAGCATTCTGAACTCCTCCAACGATGGAATTAAACCAAACTTGGCACACAGAACTCCCATGACCAACAGAAAATACTGGGTTAGGTGGGTATTGATGAGCTTTGGAGTTGTAGTTCACCTGCATCCAGAGAGCATTGTGGACTCAAGCAATGATGGATCTGGACCAAACTTGGCACGAATACTCAGTATACCCAAATGTGAACACTGGTGGAGCTTGGGAAAAGAATTACTTTTGGGAGTTGTAGTTGCTGGGATTTATAGTTCAGCAACAATCAAAGAGCATTCAGAACCCCACCAACAATCGAATTGGGCCAAACTTCCCACACAAAACCCCATGACAACATGTTTTCTGATGGTCTCTGGCAACCCCTCTGACACCCCTTACGACCCCCTCAGGGGTCCCGACCCCCAGGTTGAGAAACACTGCTCTCCGCCCTCCCAATTCTCCCGTCGTCGTGCCCAAAACCACACTTGCAAAAACCACAGGACGGGACATCTCCAGAGCCAAGGAAAAAGAAGCTGTCCTTGTAAAAGGCATATCACCTGAGGCCTCATCTGCACTGGCTGTTCAATGCAGTTTCAGACCAGTATGGAAGAAAGTGGTTTTGCTGTGCAGATGATGATGGAGGAAATCCTAGAACCGGTTTCAGATAGTGACAACTTTGCTTTCAGGTGGTTCAATGGACATAAAGTGTCCATTGAACCAGTGACAAGCGGAGTGCCACAGGAACCCAGTGACGAGTGGAGTGCCATAATCAGGGTTCCGTCCTGAGCCTGTTCAACATCTTTATTAATGACTTAGGTGAAGGGTTAGAACGCATGATCATCAAGTTTGCAGATGACACCAAATTGGGAGGGATAGCCAATACCCCAGAAGACAGGAGCAGACTTCAAAACAATCTTAACAGATTAGAGATATGAATAGCCAAAACAGACACGACTAGACTTAATGTCAGGGAAAACCTTTACTTTATATTGATTTTATTTATTTATTTAACATATTTGTTTCCCGTCCTTTTTACCCCCAGGAGGGACTCAGGGCAGCTTCACAACAGTCAGCCATTCGATGCCATCACACAGATTTAAAATAACAATTACAATTAAAACATTTATGATGTTCATGTTTAATGTGTTGTATATTTATTTGATTTTGTGTTGCTAAGTGGCATTGAATCATTGCTCAACTTTAGAACCCGCTCTGAGTCCCCTTTAGGGTGAGGTAGAGTGGGGTAAAAATGAAGTAAATAAATAAATAAATTATTATTAAAAATGCAAAGTATAAAATTACTTTTTAGGCAACGTACAGCAGACCAGAACTCAAGCAACAAGAACTCTCGAGCAACAGCAAAAAAATTGAAGAAATAATACTTTAAATACATCCATAATACAGTAAAACTATGTGACATTAAGTTTGTTTTTTCTTAGCTTATTTTTAATTACTGTAATTCAATATTAATATCAAGGCAGTACAGAGTTTATGGTGTGGTACAGTGTGATGTGTAGGCCTGTTTTTAATAGTAACTCTTAAGCAACTAGAAACAAAATTTATCCATCATCTACCAATCTCAGATTATCTACTTTGAACTGGAACATATAGCATTGTGGTCTCAGATAACTCAATTCAAAGCAGATACCTTGGGATTTTCTGCCTTGATATTCTGGGTTATATAGCTGTGTGAAAGGGCATATGTGAAAAACCAGGGAATTGTCTGAGAGTACATGATTCTTTGTTTCTTTGTTTAATGGCTAAAATTTTCAAAGGGGCTTTGTGTAGATGAAATTTAGCTTAAAGTTAAGTGGATTAGGATCAACTGTATCAGTCAGTTAGTCAGTAGCCTTTATTTCAGTCAACAAACCATTGACTGAAGAATCAACTGTATCTGCTTGAGAAACAGGCAGGGTGCAGCTACACTGTAAAAGTAGTGTAGCTTGACACTGCTTTTATTCAATGCTATGGAATTCCATGGCTCTATGCTACGGAATCCTGGGATGAAGCCCTATTTGGCAAAGAAGGTTAAGGAGCTTGTAAAGAGTGCTGGGCCTCACCAGACTCCAACCCCTTGATTCCATAGTGTTGACCAAGGCAGTTAAAGTGATGTAAAACTACACTATTTCTACAGTGTAGCTGCATCCCTAGAAATAAAACATAGTGGCCAGGATATTATGACTGCCGTTTAACTATAAAGTTTGTTCCTAGTATATAATGTAACTTAAATGTAACTATTATATGATGTTGTAAATCAACTGCTTAGATATCTTAAACAGTTTGCAAGCATTATAGCTAAGAACCTCCAAAGGGCCAAAGGCCTATCTGTTTCAGTATGCTTTTTCTCCAGAATCCACCTGTTCTTACAGATCATGGCATGAGAATGGTAGAACCATTCAAGACATTAACTTACACACATTTATTTAATGAACAATTTTCTCTCTGTATGGAAAGGAGTTTTTTTTTTTCATGTCAGGAGTGACTTTAGAAACTGCAAGTTACTTCTGGTATGAGAGAATTGGCAGTCTGCAAGGATACTGCTCAGGGGATGCCCGGATGTTTTGATGCATGTAGGAGATGCCCTTTTATCTTAGATCCAACCAGTACGATACAATCACTGCATGTCTTACGGAGACCAATATGTTTTATTTTCATGCGTTCACTCCAGGCATGGGAACCTACTAACATCAATGTCAGGGTTAGCACAGGATCTTTAGATGACATTGACAGTTCCTAGAGTGATCCTTCCAGCCCCACAAGGCAACAGAGCTGGGAGCCTGCAGTGGAATAAGTGCATTCCCCATGCTGGGGCCCACCACACTGCTTAACAGCATTTTCACCAGTTACTATGGTCCCCCATACAAGCAAATGCTGCAGAACTACATTCTTATTTTGCTCCTTCATAATCCACTCCAGAAATGCATACCATTTTCTTCTTTCTGGTCCTCCACATGACTTACGTAATACCTTAATGAGGGTACCTCCAAAAGCATAATATCTCTTACGATGCCATTCGCAAACATGTGCAAAGTGGAGATTAGCTCTCCTGAACCAGTGCAAAACACTTTGTATCTTAGAGGCCTGATTTATTTAACGATATATAATATTTAATTGTCAAAGCTGTTGATTTAACTACTAAGTCCTTAAACTTCCTAAACCAAGGAAACATTGTTACGCATGTGTAGCACATTCTGATTAAAGCAAGGGAACGCTAGCTATGACACCACTAAAGTAATTTAATTTAGTTATATAGAGATCTGCAGACTCTTTTAATTATATTGTGAAAGTAATTGTAGTGTATGACATATAATTATATGCAATATGTAATTATTTAATAGTGAAATGTAAGAAGTATTATAAAGGTAGTTAAAATATTTTTGTCATTGTATTTTGTCTCCTGGATCACCTTTCCTTGATATTACTAATGCCGAAACCATTGGAATGTATTCTCATTTCTTAACTTTTCTTTTTTTTCCCTTCTTTTTAGGTGGGGGTATGGCAGTTGGAACACTTCTTCTTATAGGTTAGTATGAAATATATATGGTATCATATTTCTTAGCAATTGTGTCACTATCTTTTTATTTCCATTCAAACCTTAGGGCTGTGGGAACCTAATACCAGCTTTGTTGTTTAGTAAGTTCTTAGATGCAAATGTGAACAATGTAGTACTATACAAACCAGCACTTTTAGGGCACATTTGCATTGACCACTTAATCCAGGGTGAAACCATCATAGAAGGAAGCCTTTTCGTTGTGCAGATAATTATATTGCAAGTCCTGCAACAGGTTTGGGGGCCAGATGATGCTTACAGGATCTGTAGTAACTATGACTTGACAACCACAGGCAATGCATTTTTTCAACTCCCTCCACTGGAATGTGCAGTTGCAAAGCAGTAGACTACATTGGTGTCCCCACAGTGATTTATATTCAGAATCAGGCCTCACCTACACTGCCGTGTAATGCAGCTTCATAATGCAGTTTAACTGCACTGAACTACAGTTAAGTCTACACTGCCATATAATGCAGTTCAAAGCAGTTAAACTGCATTATGAAACTGCATTATATGGTACTGTAAATGGGGCCTCACTTTTGGCATGCAGTGTAGTTTACATTTAAGCACACTGATACATATTGAGGACTCTCTTTCAGAGTATCCCTAACTTTGCTTATCTTATTTTAAAGCCCCTAAAACTCACTGTAGAGTGCATTTTGTTGTGCCACCACTGTACTGTCAAGTTACCTTCAAACTACATTAAATGGTCAGTGTAGATGTGTCCCTACTCACATTACCAATGATATGGTAATTCATATCATTGGACTGGATGGCTATCTGTCGGGGGTGCTTTGAATATGATTTTCCTGCTTCTTGGCGGGGGGGGGGGGGTTAGACTGGATGGTCCATGAGATCTCTTCCAAACAATTCTATTACTGTTTTGGCATCCTTGAAGTGACTGGCTTGACCTTGAAGGAGCTGGGGGTGGTGACGGCCGACAAGGAGCTCTGGCATGGGCTGGTCCATGAGGTCACAAAGAGTCGGAAGCGACTGAACGAATGAGCAATAACAACAACATGACTGTTTTCGTTATTATGAAATGAGCGTGGGTACCTGGCGTTGCCCGGGTTATTTGAAAATGTCAAAAAATTTATTTTACAAAATGCATATAGTTGTGGGTGAACACTCACATAATGCCAGGGTAACACCCTGATACTCCATTAGTGGTTAAAGTTTGTCATGTTGGACAAGTTTGTTTTCTAGATGCATCATCGGCGGGGTTCAGTGTGCTCTGTGGCTGGAGGGTAAATTACAGCTCTCATCATGGTGGGTCAGTCCCCCTTAATTCACTCCATTAGGTTCAGTTGATCATGGGGGTTCTGTGTGCCAAGTTTGGTCCCGATCTATTGTCAGCAGTCGTCACGGTGTTTCCGAATGTAGGTGAACTATAACTCCCAGAAATGAAGGTCAGTCCCCCCCCCAAAAAAAAAACCCTCCCGCAGGTTCAGTTGGTCATGAGGGTTCTGTGTGCCAAATGTGGTCCAGGTCCATTGTCAGTGGGGGTCACAGTGCAGTGTCTTGATGAAACTTCCGTCATGTTGAGTCAGTTCCCCAAATCCCTCCAGCATGTTTAGTTGTTCAGTTGCTGATCAATTCCACTCTGTTTGCTGTGTGCCATAGGAAATGGTAGGAAAGGATTAAGGGAGAAGTAGTGGGTGGGGGTCATGGAAATTCCACACCAATGGAGAGAAAAAGAAACCTTTGGAAGTGTCTTTGGTGGAAGAAAAACAGAAAATCCAGGATGAAATTGTCACCGTATGAAAACCTTTACTTGGGCGATGGGCAATATGGTGTTTGTGGAAGACATTGGCAGGGCTGTTAGACATGTTCATGACGCCTGCTATAACCTGCAATGTTCCTTGAAGGGAGAACCATTGGTGGCTCCTCAGCGCTCGGAGTTGTAGCTGTTTGAGGAGGTGGGAGCCTGTCTGTTTAAATGAACGTGCGTGCCACAGACACACATACAGATTTTCACTTTTATTTATGTGTATAGAATAGAATAGATGAAATATTCAAAATTGTTATCAGTCAGTACTACCTCCTGAAATACAGGAAGAAATTTAGACCTGATCTTTTATATCACTGATATGGTAAGAACTCTGATGCCATGGAAATGTAACTTCGATTACGAGATTAAGCCACCGGCCTTTGTCTTTTCTTCCCTGTTGTCTTCTCTCCAAAGGAAATTACTCCAGTTCCTTTCTTTCTCTTGGCAGTGCTTTCTACTACATTATACCAATGTTAGTTTTCATTATAAGAAGTTTGAAATAGATATGCTTTACATCATTTTTGCAGGAAAGCCAAAAACTGGTAGACACTTCCATTAAAACACAAATCTTGAAGGACAAACTGTTTTTATTGAAGCTGGAATGAAATTTAACTTTGTAGCTCACTGGGTTTGAAACAGAAAGCAGTCCTTTCTGAAGCAACTTTGAAAAATATCACCTCTCGAAATTACCATGCATTCTTGGTATCTTGCACCCAGCAACAACGTACTTTGCTGAAATATCTCCTATTCTCATGCTGAACTCAGAGAGTGATGGTGGAAATCAACAAAGCAAATAAATCAATACATTGATAGCGGCATGCCCATCACAGCAGATTTGTGCAAGAAGAGAAATGATCCTTCCATTGCCTAGACATCAGGGAGTCAGACATAACCTGAAATAAAGGAGAGCCTCACTTTTTCAACATAAATGGGCCAGCAGAACATTGGATAAGTGAAAATGTTGGATATTAAAGAGGTATTATGGAAAAACCTATTAAACATCAAATTGCATTATGATTTTACAAATTAAGCACCAAAACATCATATTTTATAACAAATTGACAGAAAAAGCCATTCAGTACACAGTAATGCTATGTAGTAATACTGTATTTATGAATTTAGTACCAAAACATTGCAGTGCATTGAAACAGCTGTGGATCCGGGCAGGAGGCAGACTGCGTTGGATAATACAAAACGTTGGATGAGCGAAGATTGGATGAGCAAGACTCAACTGCAGTTGGATAATGCTTTCCTTATTATTAGGTGATGAAACATATCCTCTAAGTCTGCATTGTAAGACCCTAAGGAGAAATTTGGAGCAAGTATGGTTTGTGAAGCTATCTTTAAAGCTAAGTACTTGTAGATAAAAGAGGAACTCCTCTATAGTTTTATTTGGGGAAATCATGGCTTAAGGAGGAAAAAGGAATCAAGTGTGAAGGAACCTCACCATCTCTTTTACTACCAATTCACTACTAGGTAGCCAACTCCTCATCTCTAAGAAGTGATGACAAGCACCCTGAAAGACAAACCATGGAATTTGGGATTGAGAGGAGGCCAAACAAATGGTAAAATATAAGGAAAAGCTAAAGAACAATTAGATATAGAGTGGAAAAAAACAACTACACTAATTAACAGTTTTTCACAAAATGTGGCTGTGTAGTTGTTAATCCAGGGTCTTTTATTCAAAAAAGGAGGTAACTGGAAAATGGAAATAAAATGGAAAATCTGAAGCTTCTTGATAATAAAGTGTGACATTTCTTCACTTCCTAAGGTAAGCCTGCTTGGAAGGTAGTCTGCTCCTGCTGTGTAAGACCTAACTCAAGACATATAATGTGATTAAGGCTGGAGAAGATATATATTTACCAGCATTGTTTGCCAAGTTAGCTAAACCATTTGGTCATTTTTAGCTGTCTGTTTTAAAAAAGATTCCTATTTTAGCATCCAGAAATAGTAATGGGGAAGATAGAAGTAAAGGCGTTTTGAATCCAGTTGCTGAGGTACACACACACACACACACTTTATATACCATATGTACTCGTATATAAGTCGACCTGGTATATAAGTTGAGGGCAGGTTTTGGGGCCAAAATTATAGGTTTTTTAATGATCCTCGGATAAGTCAAAGATCATTTGTGGAAAACAGAAAGCACTAATATTCCTTCATGGGAGTAGACATCCGTGTCTGCCATCACTGCTGTTATCCTGTCCAGGCATTTTAAAAGGCCAGAAGCAGCACAGTGATAGAGTTGTGATTATTTTTGGTTTGTCTGGGATGGACTAAACTCTAGCCTTTTGCTACTCAGCTCGGAGAAAGGTATGGTTCCTTTTTTGATAAGAGTTAAGGTGCAGTACTCACATTAACCTCTGTATAAGTCAACCCTGTTTTGTGAGGTTGATTTTTTTGACTGATATGTCTAGGCCTAAGCATGAATATATAGGGTAATGTCATATAAAATATGGATCTTAGCAAGTATTTTAAAAGAAATATAAATGTCTTGTCAGTAATGAAAACAATGGTAGCATTCTGTCACAAGATTAGTCTAGACAAGCTCTCTGTATCATGAAACTAAAGCTGTCAAATTAAGCCTCTTTGGAGAATATTTCAGCATTACACTTCAAGTGCAGTAAAAGGGTTAAGAAAAAAACCTGCCTCTAAGGTGAAAATAAATTGAATTGCTCCCCTATTACATAGATCCTTTCATATATTACATTCTTATATTTATTATTCAATATACATTATGGTGGCTAGTTTACTATCGATAAATCTACAATTTCCACCAATCCCAGATAATCACATTATATACATAAAATGGTCAAGCATCCATAAACATGTTGGTGCCAGTTAATAAAATAGGATGGTTAAACCCTTGTGCCAGCAGGACTGCTGACTGACATGTTGGCGGTTCGAATTCGGGGAGCGGGGTGAGCTCCCGTCTCAGCTCTAGCTTCCCATGCAGGGACATTAGAGAAGCCTCCCATAGGATGGTAAAAACATAAAACATCTGGGCATCCCCTGGGCAACATCTTTGCAGACGGCCAATTCTCTCACACCAGAAGTGACTTGCAGTTTCTCAAGTTCCTCCTGACACAAAAAAAAAATGAAATGAATTAATCCCCTTTTTTGGCATCTGTGTGTGTCACCCCAGTGGATATGGAGAGCCCACTGTCACCCCAGTGGATATGGAGAGCCCACTGTTTTCAAA